GACCCGTAATGGCCCCCACAGGCCGAACAAAACAGTCTACTGCAATGCCCGAAAAGTACACAATAATTTCTTGCCATGAATTCGCTGGCAGATTGTACAGCTGTCATTCACTCATCTCCAATCTTCTCCTACACATTTCTTTATACAATTTTTTAATACACATTTTTTCATAAAAAGTTACAAAGTTAACCCAAACATTCATATTTTTTTCCTCAACTTTTTAGTCCAAAAAGACAAAAAGTGCACTTATTTAGGACACTCCAAACAACCTCTAAATTACATAGATTTGATCTCAGTACATAATAAGTGTTTTAATTTAATATTTTAATATTTAAATTATGCCTATTAATAGAGGTAAATTAAATCTGTAGACTCTAACAAACATGTGTTTTTTTCTTTTTTTTTTTTTAAATTTGCTTGGTAGCTCAAAATTGGACAGGCTCAAATGCCTCGAGTGCCAAAACGACACTTTTTTTCTTTTTTTCCCTTCTTCCTTCCACCTCACGCTGAAACTCGTTTAAGAGAAACAGAGAGAAACAGAGAGGCGAGAGAAAGAGAAAAGGAGGAAGAGAGGAGAAGAAAACAAAGAGAGGGGGCCATGGACGGAAATCACCACAATCCAATCCACCACCATGAGCTGTGGGTTTGATTTTGATTTTGATTCTATGAGTTTGGTTTTGATTTGATTTTGGAATTGATTTTTGAGTTTGATTTTGGGATTGGTTGGGATTTAGAGAATGAGAAAGTTTTGATGAAGTAATTGTAGAAGATAGGATTTGAGATGGGAGTTAATGTTATGGTGGTGAAGCAAAAAATATAGAAGAAGAAGAAGAGGAAGAGGAGGAGGAGAAACGGAAGGGTGGTGGAGCAAAAAATACAGAAGAAGAAGAAGAAGAAGAGGAGAAGAAACAGAGCGATGGTAGAACAAAAAATATAACAGAAGAAGAAGAAGAAGACGACGACAAGAAGAAACAGAGGAGATGTTTGTTGAGTTGAAAAGTAAAGGCGGGCCACTCGACCCTTGACTTTTCGAGTTGGTTTTTTTTTTTTTTTTTTAAACCATCACGACTAGCAGACAAGTTTAGACATTGAAAACCACAAGCTTGAGCAGAGCTGTAAAGGTTGCTTTGTTCAAGGAATTACGAGTAAGCATCTTATTGGTTGTCATGTTAATTATTCTTGGGTGAATCTAAAAATAATTGTTTTAAAGGAAATAATAATATTTTGTTTCAATCCTGTTACAATTTAAGAGGGGGGTGAGAGAGAAAATATTATATAATGTGTACATTTAATGTTGTGTTAAATAATTATATAATAATGTACATAAGAATTAAGTATGATAATTTTAAGTATGATAATAAATATAATATGATATGATAGATAGAATATATAATTATTATATCAAAAATGCTAGAGGTCCCAAATATTCTATCAAAAATTTTACCAAATGTCTCACATGACATGTGGTAAAACTTTTGGTAGAATATTTGGAGCCTCTAGCATTACTCTTATTATATTTAACACCCCTCAAACTGAAGTAGGGATACCGATTTGAGTTTGGACAGAAAAACTAAAACATGAAATAAAACTAAAAAATAAAATAAAAGGCAAATAGATTACAAAGTCCGAATGAATTCGCAAAGGTGCTTGAGATAGATCAGAGACCAGAGCGGACGTGTCAGACCGTTGTAAGAATTAGCCGGAATTAATACCAGGACAATTTAAGATCATGTCAAACCATTATAAAAATTGACCAGAACTAATGCCAAGACAGTTTAAGGTCATGCCGGAACGTCGTAAAAACTAGCTAGAACTAATACGGATATAGTTTAAGATCGTGCCGAACCGATGAAGAACTATATGTTGAACCAGAAAATGTAGCACACACATAACTTATGACGTGGTGCTAAATGGTGATAGTAACAGATGACATTGTGCGCTAAGGGGGCGACTTATGAGAAAGTGCGACTTGGGGCAACTTGAGCTATGCGCTAGAAAAGACAACTTGGGTTGTGCACCAGGGGGTGGCTTCGGTTGTGCACTTGATAGGGCGACTTGGGTAGTGCGCCAGAGAGGGACTTATGAGAAAGTGCGCCAAGGAACGGCTTGAGTTGTGCGCCAGAAGGAACAGCTTGGGTGGTACGCCAATGAGGGCAACTTAGGTAGTACACCAAGGGGCCGACTTGGGTGGTTTACATAGTATATAATCATGCTCAATATGATATAGGTATAATACCCCCCTCAAATTCAAATAGGTTTGAAGATATAAACCTATTTGAGGTTGAAACAAAATGAAGGACAAAGTGGAGCAAAAGCACACAAAAAAAAAAGAAAAAAAAGATTGCAAGTAAAAAAAATATAATAGAGATATTTAGAGTAAGAATAAATTAGTGGACATAGGAAGAGAACACTATGAAACGATACTGAAAAGAAAATATGACAGCGGAATGATTTAATGTCCGGCGGATGGCCAAAGCAAGGCTGTCACCCGCCAATGAAGCAAAATTACTAGGTATTTAACTCCACTCTGATACCATGTTACAATATTTAAGAGATAGAGAGAGTATTATATTATGTGTATATTCAATATTGTATTGAATAAATATGTAACAATGTATACAAGACTCCTTTATATAAGAGGAGAGAAACCTAAGTATAATAATCCTAAATATAGTAATAAATATATTATGATAAGTATGATAGACATAATATATAATTATTATATTTAACAAATCTCACAGAGAGCTAATCACATTAATTTGGAAAACCAACTTGATTTTTTAATGCGGAAGATCAGGAAAAATAAAAACTAAAAAAATGATGAAGTGAAGAAGAGAAAACTTGAAACCCTGATCTGGAAACACATTCTGAACTATCAAATAATCACCCCCAAATATGGAATGTTATATTAAGACAGATTAAAAGTCTAGAAATTATTCAACAATCATAGGAGAATATCAGATACATCATGGGGAGTTTTTCTTTTCTTTTCTTGTTTAAGTAATCCTTAAAATTGGATAACATGTCTATCTCGGGTTAGATTGGGAGAGGGAGTGTCTAAACAATGACATCTTTCCACTGATGATTTTATCATTCTTTTTCACATTCTACGTCTAATTCACATAACAAACACCATCAAACAGCATCAATATATATAGGACCTACCATTCTCCAACTTTCTATAAAAATTTCAAGTTTTCATTAGCAATGCACGCAAAACATCAATTTTATATTCATGGGCTTGTTGCTTTCGCCGATGAAGTTTGCTTTTGTCAAACCTATAATCCAGGATTTCAAGGATACAATCTTTCTTATAAGAAACAAAAATTTGGGGATAACATATAATTACTATTTTTCATGGGGACAAGCATCTGTTTTAATACACTGATCCAAATTAATCAAATGAATACTTCGCAGCACAAGCAATTGGGATATACAAGCAAACCTAACACTTCCAAAACGGCGAAGACAGAACCTGGCTAAGAAGGTTAGGCTGAGCCAACAAATCCTAAGCCACTGCAGGAAATGCAATTATAATGATTTATACAACTCAGATGCATACACACCATGCCTAGAAGGCAGAAATAAAAAATTGATAAGGTGGAAAATTGAGTGTTATTTTTCCAATAAGGGACTCATCTATTTATAAATTATATCAACAGCTAACTTAAATGAGGCCGGTTTCAGAAAATATCAGATGCAAACTTTCAAAGAAATTCCCATGATGCCAAAGAGAGTATATTAACAGAACTTCATACGATGACAATGCACGGATGATTGGCTTGAAACATCAAAGATCCCCAAATCCTCCATTTCACAAATGAATCATAATGAGCTTCAATGGAAATAATGTGCAGCAATGCCCATCCAAATGTGCATTAACTTACATGCATCACACTAAATCAAGTTGAAGTAATATGATGAACATACAGAACTATTGAGAGATTTGCTTCATACTTAAAAGTCATGAAGGATTAAAAGCAGGAAATATTAGCTACTGTAATCCACGTAAAACTTATCAGAATTTTTCTAGCTAATTAATGCTGGTTACTAATTCTACTATCACAGCTACCAACTATGACTGAGCCATTAATAACTATGGATTTCTAGAATGGGTTGACAGGCTTAACCACTAATTCATCAGATTCAACAGTCAATTCTCAGGATCAGTAACAATCAAAATTTATTACTACAGTTTGGGCACATAAGAATTAAGAAAGAACCAAAAGGCCTGGAAGATGAAAAGTTTACAAGGAATTTAAGTATCATAAGTTCATTGACCATAACAAGTCTAGGAGGTAAAGAAGAAAAATGAAATCTTTCCTGCTTTCATTGCACGTAGCAATCTTAAGAAACTTTTTTTTTAATTTTTTTTTTGTCATTTCACATAGCAATTTAAGCTACTCTCTTTCTTCATTTTGACCCATTTTTTATATTCACCTCACCTCAGAATGTTGCTACTTGAGTTATGGGTGGGAGGGTATTGATGGGTCTGAAAAGGCAGAGCTCATTTAACTCTTTACGGTTTGATTTCATTTTAAATGCTCAACCACTAGGCTAGAAGGGGACCACCTTGTCGGTACTCGACGTTGAACCAAGAAAAATCTATATTTTGACCCATTTTTTCTATTCACCTCACCTCAGAATGTTGCAACTTGAGTTATGGGTGGGAGGGTATTGATGGGTCTGAAAAGGCAGAGCTCATTTAACTCTTTACGGTTTGATTTCATTTTAAATGCTCAACCACTAGGCTAGAAGGGGACCACCTTGTCGGTACTCGACCTTGAACAAAGAAAAATCTATGTCTTTTGGTGCTTCAGGAAAGAAGACAGTGACACCATGATTGAGTCAAAATGAGTCAAGTGGCAACAGTGCCATTGATCTACCTATGCTTAATAATAATATACAAAAAAAGGCACCCAATCAACAACATGAAGCCCACAATCAAATAAAGAAAAATAAATAAATAAACCAACAAGAGGCATCCATCACACATTAAAAAAAGAATAAGAAAGAAAGCTTAATAGAGTCAAAATCATCCTTCAATCATGTACCGACCAAGGCCCAAAAGAGCAGAACACATAAATTGCTTTTACATGTAAAGCGAAAACAAAAAGAAAAAGAAAAACAGATGCATGGTTGAGAATAAAGTGCCATAAAAAAGCTCCATTTTCTGAAAATCCAAATTCAAGACTCCTGATCCATGTTAGTTTTTGGTTTTTAGGAAATTTTGTTTATTATTGTGAACTCTATTTGCTCATCTCTCCATCTTCAATCTCTCAAGTGGGGAGTTTTAAATTGCTTCATATCACTTCCTTATAGTTTAAGGTTTTGGAACAATCGGCGGCTGAACAGACCCAGACCCAGACCCCTATTATTTTGACTAGGGGTATTCAAGAGTTTAATTCATGTGGCCCTGAAACAACGTATAGAATGAGTTGGTTTCAGCATTTAATCCACAGTTCACTCTAGACATGAACTACTAACAATAAAGGCATGTTTGGTTGGGTTTTCAATTTTTTTTGCATTTTTTGTTTCGGCAGAAATAAAACAATGAAAAGTTCCAAATCACCGGTCATGTTTATAATGTTCCAAAATTTTGATAACTTTTATGTGTTATAAACAGCCCACCAAATTGAGAAAAAATTAAGATGGACTGTACCAGTTACGCAAATAGAACACCAAATCACAACAAATAAAGCAAAACTGCATTTACAAACTAGCATCGAGAAAAGAAAACACACCATCTTACCATGATCACTCAGCCGGGAAATCAAATGGCAGAGGCGACACAAAGGAGGAATCCAGTAAATCCGGGTGCATGAATCCATAATTACGAAGCACCTGATTATCCGCGAAATTCAAAGCCCTCTGCATGGCGTCCCAGCAAGTCTCGCCTTCATACATCTGGTTGTGCTTCCCACTACACGGCTGACACCCCGTAAAATGCGTGATAAACGGCCGCCTCCAACTCCACCTTCCATACCCGGCATCCTTCAAATACGGCTCTCTCATGGCAGCATAATTCTCACTCACCACCTCCGCTCGCCGCCGCCTCAGCCTTTGCACCTCCTTCTCTATCCCGACGTACTTGTCAGTGATGTTACCAAGCGTCCCAATAATTTCTAACCAGTACCCTTCAAAGTAATACTCTCCCTCTACGTAAATCTTGTCCCCCCATTTCTCTCTCTCTTTTAAAAGCAGGTAAACGAGGCCAGATTGATCGTCTGATTCAGGGAAGAGCTTGTCTGGGAGGGCTGATCTTAGGGTTTGGCCCCACTTTTCGTAATTTGGGGTTTGTGGACCCATGCTTGCCCAAACCTCCATGAAATCAAGCGACCACTGGCAATTTCGGATCAAGAACACACCGGCGTTGATGCTGACCCAACTCTTCTCCTCATAGATCATCCGGGTCCACCCGTGGACTACTAGGTTGTGGTGTTTGTATCTCTCTAATGGGAGCTTGAAATCCATGTCGGTGAACGCAGCGTCTGAGTCGACCCACCAGATCCACTCGGCCTCGGGGTGAGCCACCATGGCGGCTCGAACCAGAGGTATTTTGGCCCAGTAAGTGTGCATTTTCGGGTGAAGCAACACGTTGTTGTAGAAGATATCGTAGCCATGGATTCGACAGTAATCGACCTTGTTTTTGAAGAATCTCAGTAGCAAATGATCGCCGATTGGGTTCTTACACGGCGAGGACTGCGACCCGGAGACGACGAGAATCCGGTCTCCTGCTCCGGCGGCGTACGACGGGTGATGCTTCAGCCAATCCCGTCGCTTCTCGTCCCAGTTCTCAATCTCCTGTCCTCCTATGGAATAGCTTAGTTCCGGGTCGTCGTAGAACGTCGGGTCACCCGGGTCGTCGCGCAGGTTAACCCCGTGCGCACCCCCAGCGCAATCTCGCTTTTCCGAAGAAATCGATGCCTTCGCTTCGTTCACTGAGAAACCAGAACTAGGGTTAGGGTTTACAAAGGACGAGAGAGCCCAAACCGTTAGAAGAGCCACCAAAGCTCCACCGACGAATAGAAGGCCGTCGGGGAGAAACGACGCCGCTTTGGTCCGAGCTCCGTGCTTGGCCATGGATAGTGATGAAGATGTCTGGAACTGAGAATGCTCAGGAGACACCATTTTAAGCCCAGGAGGAGTATTCTTGTCAGTGTGTGGCCGCCATATCCAATTTTCTTGGTGTTCTCTGCTATAATAGTAATACTCTACAGCAGAGCAATTGCTAAACTTGGAAAGTGAAATAACTCAAAATGGGTATTGGAATTTAGTGATTTCGTGACGAAAGGCGTGATGAATGTTAATGGTGAGAGCGTCGGTGTGTAGCGGAGAGAGAGACAGAGAGAGGGGTAGGTGGAGGAGTGTTAATGGCGAAGGCCAGAAGGGCGTGAACTGCCAGTGCAAAAAAGTTCACAGCATTCATTCAAGTTTTTGGATTTGGATGTGAGGTGGTGATGTATGCCATTGACACGTCTATCTTTCAACACATGGGCAATGTATTGGAGTGGAGTACCGGCATTTTTGGCTTTCGTGTTTTGCTTTGTTTTGTTTGGGAGCTAGGAAAATGTTTTCCCGTTCTTTCTCTCCCAAGTGTCAGTTTTTACCACACGGTGCCTTTTGGGTGCTGGTTTTCTTCATTTGTATTTGAGTAGTAAAATAAAAGAAAAGATGTCGAAAATTTTATTAAAATTTTTATTAAATATTCCAAAAGAACTTACGAATAGTTTAGAGTGTTCTAAAAAAGTGTACTTTTTGATTTTTTATAAAAAGATATGTAGAAAAGTAGAGAGAAGATATTGATTGATGTGACCTAAAAAAGATAAAAAATGTAAACTTATTTAGCCTCCGTTTGGGAAGTGGGTTGACTTTTTGACTTTTTAGCTTTTTTTGCTATTTTAGCCTGGGCTTAAAAGTTTGATTTGGGAAGGACTTTTTGACTTTTTGACTTTTTTAAATTTTTTTATGAGAGAAGAATGTAATGATTATGGGTTGGATGTGATATTTTGTTTGTTATGGCTAAAATAGCCTATTTTATTTTTTGTAACTAAAATAGTCAAAAAAACCTGCTAACCCACTTGCCAAACACAGGTTTAGTCTTCCCAAACAAGGCCTTACATAATATGAGTTCTACATGTGGTCTTTAATATTTGATAAAAAAATTTAATAAATCTTATAGGTCTTTAACATTTTTTAAAATAAAAAGAATGATAATATATATATACATTTATATATATATATATATATTGGGATATGTATAGGGGTGTGCGCGATGCGGATCGGTGCGGTTTGAGAGAAAAATAGAAACCGTATGGCGGATGGCGAATTGATAAAAGTGTCACTAGAATTTGTCATTTTCCTTATCAAAAACTGGCAGTTCAGTTGGCAAATAATGACGGATTTGCCTTGGCAGTTCGGGCGGATTGGCGGTTTATAAAAAATATAATTCAAATTATAAAACTTAAATCGAAGAGTAAAAAAAGACGAGAGATACCGTGATGTTAAGCATCTTGCGAAGCTTTCTTCTGATGCAGCAAGTGTAGCAACAACATGATAATATCAACGACTATGTCATCAGTTCATTACAAGCATCTGTGGAAGCTACAATGATCAAATACAATACATAAAATTAATATCATTCAGGGTTTATAATATATTGAAAATGTTTACTGTTGAAAAGTATTTAGATTAAAAAGTGAGCTGATGCAAGTTTGCAACATGGCCAGAAAAAAAAAAAAGATTAAAAAGTGAATTGGAATCCAACTTTATTTTGGATTACTGACATCTTGAATTCCCTCAAGCAGTAATGTAATACTATATTCTAAGGTATACAACAACAAGCAAACTTAAGTAAAAGAGAATTTTTAGAATCTTATAAAAGATGATTTAATAGCGGTACGGGCCGGTGCGGTTTGAAAGAAAAATAAAAACCGGCGAATTGATAAAAGTGTCACTAGAATTTGTCATTTTTCTTACCAAAAATTGACAGTTCAATTGGTAAATAATAACGAATTTGTCTTGGTGATTCGATTTCGACAATTTCAACGATATTATGCACACCCCTAACTATGTGTGTGATAGAATGTCAGTGGGTCAAAAATTAAGGAAACTTGAGTGAGTTCATCTCTTACAATATCCGATGGCTGTTTTTCAGTTCTATACAAATATTTTAATCTTATCTTATAAGACACTTTAAATGGTGGGAGGGAAAATGTAGACTTATTACAATTTTAAAGAATAAAGACAAAATACAATATTTTTGAACAAAAGAAAAGTGCGCACCCTCTATTTTGTTATTAGTGATAAAATTGGAGTGGTAATATTCGAGTGTTTGATTATTCGAAAATTATGACGACAAGAATATATATATTTTGCTCATCTACTCATTATTTGAACATAATAGAATAAGGCCATGTTTGTTTGGGCGTGAACATAATAGAATAAGGTCATGTTTGTTTGGGCGGACTGGATTAGCATTCCCATGACTAATAGTCCTAAGACTACGAATCCGTTGGATTATGTATCCTATCTTAACTAATAATCAAGTTTAAAATAATTAATCCGTACTTCAATTGTTTAACCAAATATCGGATTAATAATTTTATTGGACTATTAGTCTAATCCCAAGCTTATGTCCACCCAAACAAACATGGCCTAAAAGTGACCTGTAAATAGATTTTCTTTTTTTTTTATCAAAAAAAAAAAGAAGACATTTTATTGATAAATGGCATAATACAAAGTACAACAATATCAATAAAGAGAGCAGGTACAAAAATATCACAGTGAATAATATTATTCTAACTAAGGCCAAGTTTGGGAAGACTAAAAAAGTGCACTTTTTGTCTTTTTGGACTAAAAAATTGAGGTTGAAAATATGGATGTTTGGGTTAACTTTTTGACTTTTTATTGAAAAATGTGTAATAAAAAATTGTAAAAATTTGCTCATCTACTCATTATTTGAACATAATAGAATAAAAGTGACCTGTAAATAGATTTTCTTTTTTTTTATCAAAAAAAAAGAAGACATTTTATTGATAAATGGCATAATACAAAGTACAACAATATCAATAAAGAGAGCAGGTACAAAAATATCACAGTGAATAATATTATTCTAACTAAATTGACATTAAAATGCACATCTTATCATTTTTTAGCACACCACAAAATTAATGAGCAACTAACCAAAACACAAAACAGAGAAGCAAAACAAACACCCAAACTAGATTTTCATTTGACATTCCATTACCATTATTTAAACATAATCTAAAAATTTATGCTTTTCTTATTAAGAAAAAGATTAACTAGATTTATGCTATTATAGCAGCATAGAACTTTGAGGTTGAGGTTGTGACATGCAATGATTGGAGATACAAGTTGGTCCACTGTGAAGGTTAAAATTTAGGAGAATTCACAATCCAGTGGAGCCTTCACAAAAAAATTTCACATGCATGAATAGTTTATAAAATTAATTATTAATGTTTATAAAGTTTATTATTAATTTATAATTAATATTTAAAAATTATCCTAAGTTGTATTTTCTGCTAAAATTTATGGTGCAACTAAAAATAAAAACATAAAATAACCGTTTTGAAACTATAATAAATCATGTGAAAGGGAACTAAATATGATATTTACATCTAAAAATGTACTCGCATACTATGACTACATTTGTTATTCTCATCGTTTTCCTTTGTAACCAAACAAGAAATAACTACTATGACTACATTTGTTATTCTCATCGTTTTCCTTTGTAACCAAACAAGAAATAACTGTTTATTTATTTTTTATTTTTCTCACAACTATGAATCATATCTACTAGGCAACTTTACTACATAGAGATGATGAGAAGCTATAAGTTGTTTTTGGATCATCAATTTGGATAGAAATTTTTTTAAAAAAAATTAGATAAAATATAAATAAAATACAATAAAATTTTACTCACATTATTTTTTTCCTTTTAAAATTTATACTCAAATTTATAATTAAAACAAGTCCAAACTAGTAGAAAAAGTTGAAGAAGTACATGGGGGTCAAGCCATGTGATGGTCTGAGCTGCTGGTGGCCCCAAATGGGAAATATGTGTTGTTGTTGTTAGTTGTTACACTGCCGTGCCATACCCATGTTAGTTAACAACCTCACGTTGACAAATGACAATGACAATGACAATGCACCATCATTATCTATGTTTGTTCCCAAATTACTTGGCGAACTTATTTTATTATTATATAACTTATTTATTGGATTAAAGCAGCAAGAAGCTCTCGTAGCTCAGTTGGTTAGAGCACCCGTTTAGTAAGCGGGAGGTCTTGAGTTCGACTCTCAACGAGAGCATGTCGTATTTTTTCTTTTTTAAATGGGCTTGACTAATTTACCAGCCCAACAGATAAAGCGCAAAAACACATACAACGCAAACTATTCAAAACCTATTAGAGAGTGTTTGGAAATCGATTTTAGCAGTTTCTTTTTCTTTCTTGAGAAAAATATATACTATATTTAAGAAGTTGATTTTTTAGTGGTTAATGGTTCTAAAAAATAAAATAGATTGATACTATTATAAAGCAATTTACTCATAATAACATTGCAAATTACTATTAAATTTTGATTTGTCACAAACTCTAAAACCGAACTCTTTTGCCAAAAAATAATTTTAAAAGTTAGGCATTTTTTGAGTTCCACATAGGTCTTGTTTGGTTAAAATTATTCTAGTTTGAAATAAAATCAACTTATTTTGGTCTTAGCTCAAGAAAACACAAAAAGCACAAAACACCTACACACACATCTTTTACCTTTTATGTTGAAGTCAACAAAAAAGCTAATTTAAATAATAATCTCAAAACTCAACTCCCTTTTTTGAAAAAAATAAATAGCTTAAACACTATATCTTGGAAGTACAACTATTTAAGCATGCAATTAACAACAGTAAACTTGCTTGATTGTTGCTCATAACATCAGCTAAACCAACCCAGAAAAATAAATACAAACACCAGTCCAATTACAGCCGACCATCTCATCTGCATCCAAGAACAGAACAGTTTTATTATTTTGTAAATGGTTAAAGTCAACAGAATTTCGACCTTCCATTAATGAAGAAGCTTAGACTGTAACAGCAGGGGTAGCTCCTCCCTCACCACCCACTGCATTTATATATACAGCTAATTACTCACCCTATTAACCCAACCAACAAACAAAGATCTAACCCACTGGTTCATATACTCTCTCCAACAAACTTTTTCAACAACCCTCCAAGTCCCTCCACCTGAGGTAAACTAACCCAGCACAGTAATGCGTGTAGGCCCCTGCCACCACCAGCACATGAAAAAGCTGGTGGCTGTGCCCCGCGATGTCGAACTTCCCAGGCATCCATCGCTCCGGAATCCTCGTCGCATAAATCAGTGCACCAATTCCATAAAACACCCCCATCAAGATCTCATACCCAGTCGTGTACAGTGCCTCGGGCCGGTTCCTGAACAAGATCAGCTTGTGGAAAATTGGGGCCACCCCCGACATTCCCATCCCAAAAAATAGGGATGCACGAATTTTACGGTATTCGGGTTTTTGGAAGACCGGGAGGAGAGAGACCAAGATTGTGCCAATTCCCAAGATGGTTATGAATCCTAGGTAGAGATTGCAGAAGAAGGGATTGCACATGAATGAGTAGTAGACAGGAGGGTAGAAGGAGGTTGCGATGAGAGCTGCAATCCCGGCGTAATCGAACCTAAGCATGATGTATGATAATCGCTCAGAGTGGCAAGAGAGTAAGTGGCATGTGCTGCTGGCTAGCAAGCAAAACATGGCCCCACCTAAGAAGGCGTAGAATGGCCACCGCGTGATCGGCCTCAGCATCAAGGGTGCTATCATGCTCACCACGTCCTCCTTCATGCTATGCTGCATTTAAACAAATGATAGTGAAAGTATTTGCCAAATTTAATGTTTAGGAAACAAAAAAACCATTCTGTACTTCTTCACAAGAACAGGGAATAATGGCATGTGGAAGAGATAATGAGAAGTGTCAGAGTTTAATGCATTAAAATTCAACTATCAACCATGTTTAGCATGTTTCATACCAAAATTTCAGAATCTGTCAAAACTTAAGTATAAATAATCTCTACCCGGTCATTACAGAAGGATACAACACAGGATGAAAATCTATTTCCATTATAACTTTATAAGCTTGTTAGCCTTTCCTTGCATCTTTATTGAATAAGGAAATTCAACATATGAATCAGTAGAAGGTATTGCTTGAACATGTTCACCAATCTCGAGTTACTTGCACGAGGGTAACTCAATTCTTAGCAAGAAACTAAGAATGTTTGAATGTAATGCCATTATAGATGTTTTCCCCACAATACCATATTAAAATAGTCTGGCAGTAACACATTTCCTTGGACGTTAGGAGACGCGGGGGGGGGGGGGGGGAAATGCTCAAAATGAAAATAAAAGTGGAAAGTGGTGATGACATCCCAATGGCATGCACTGAAACAATACCAAAGCTATTAGTAATATGCATGTATAGCCCGGCTACAGATTCTAGAACAGGATAAGACAAATGGCTACTAGAAGTATGCCTTGGTAAGATTTAGCACGCAAAAATCGACTAGGATATTCTCGTGACAGCCTATCAAGTGAAAATATAGATTTGCTCATAACAGGTTGATTGATGAGGATATTACTATCTGCTACAAAGCAACACCAAACAAGGACTGTACCAGAACACTAACATCAGTGTGGTTGCCATGAAACAATCGCTCAGGCAAACAATTAGTGAGGAGTTCTACAATATGCCAAGTTGATGGTGATCGTAGCAAATCCATCGAAGCAAATGCATTAGTTAGCTCCTCACGAAGTCTGTTCAAATCAGGCATGTTGGGTAAGGAAGGCAGGCAAGCCAAAAGTTCTGCATGAAGTTTGTGCAGATCAGCTTTTTTCAGCACATCAGCGAAATGTGGTAGAGTGTGAAGATCCACAACCTTTGGAACCTTCATTGCTGTGTATATCGTCAAGGCCAGAAAAAGGAAGAAACCAATCAAATGCCTGCAAAATAAAAATTATGCATCAAGACAAGGAAGATTCTAGAAGGATGAAACATCAACGAGTTCCTTACAAACCAAAACAAAAGAAAGAAAGATTAAAAAAAGCGCACAAAGTTGTAAAAAGAAAAAATACCAAAAAAGAAAAAGGAGAAGACAAAAGAAAAGCACCTACCTATTAACTGAAAGAGAATCACAAATCTTCTGAACAACCTATTCACATGAATTTATAGTAGTGAAAAAGAACCAACAGTAGCAAGAGATCAAACCTCACTCTGATTTTCTTAACAGTGGCTATTGAGGATCTCACATTAAAAGCATAAAAATCTTAGAGCACAATCACAACCTCAAAAAAAAAAACTAACAGAACATGAATCTCAAGTGCCCAACTGGTGATTTATTGGCACATGTTAGTGTGCCCACCACAACCAAGCAAATTTGGCAACATGAACATCATTTTCACATGCCCATCTCGAAGTTGCTCATTGGGCCTAGTCTCTAGAAACCCCACCTGAGTAATGCTGCGATTGAAGGCTGCAAAGCTGAATTATTTTCTGCCTACTCCCAGTAATACATGGCAACTAATAAACAAGGATGTTAATAATAGTAATAACAGTAATTTCTAAAATCCTAGCCAACAACACCACCATCCCGCACCCTTATGGCAGGAAAGGGGAAAAAATGATATGATCACAATATCCCCCATAAATGAAGTTCTGAAGTCTGATTGTCCAACAAGAAAATTCAAACAGTACCACTTACAAAAGGTAATCACAACCTCAAAAAACAAAACTAACAGAACATGAATCTCAAGTGCCCAACTGGTGATTTATTGGCACATGTTAGTGTGCCCGCCACAACCAAGCAAATTTGGCAACATGAACATCATTTTCACATGCCCATCTCGAAGTTGCTCATTGGGCCTAGTCTCTAGAAACCCCACCTGAGTAATGCTGCGATTGAAGGCTGCAAAGCTGAATTATTTTCTGCCTACTCCCAGTAATACATGGCAACTAATAAACAAGGATGTTAATAATAGTAATAACAGTAATTTCTAAAATCCTAGCCAACAACACCACCATCCCGCACCCTTATGGCAGGAAAGGGGAAAAAATGATATGATCACAATATCCCCCATAAATGAAGTTCTGAAGTCTGATTGTCCAACAAGAAAATTCAAACAGTACCACTTACAAAAGGTTGAGCTATTTGTTCAGCTAAAAAACTCACCCCTCCAGTAGTTCGTAAGTTTTATTATAAGCACAGTGAATGATGTTACACAGATAGACCTTAACTTTATGCTCTTTCAGATTAACAGAAAGAAAAGTTTGAAACGCCGGATAACTTAGAGGCTGAACATTTGTAAAATGGAGACATAACAAATGTGCAATGTTATATGTTGCATGTTAAAGCCAGCACTCGTGAATTTTTTTATAGCAAGACAGGAGAGAGAGATTTTATATCAACTAGACCAATCAAGGAATAAACGACACCCAAAATAATTTAATGCAACAAGGTCTACTATTACATAAAATGCGAAAACTTTGGCAAAAGCGGTGCAGGTGGCTAGTAAAAGCACGGCACAAGTGTGCCACATACACAAGTCAAACCAATTTGTGTAGAGCCAAGCACTAAACACAGCATTCATGAATACCTAAGTTTTCTCCTTACATAAATCACTTGATATCTTCACATCACCAATGATACCAACCCTCATTTAGCAAACAGAATCACCCCATTAAATTAAACAGTATCCAAATAAACATACAACTCAGCTTAGTTTTGCCCCCCAAGTCCCAACAAATTGGGGATTAGGTACACAAATCCATATTCCATTCCCCTTTATTTAGGGGGTTATGAATTAGTAACAATTACAGTCATCTGTTTTCGCTCTCACCTCCACCATAAATGTGTACCCTTCTTTTACAATATTTTGCCAAAGTTCAATAAATATGTCACTATGTATGTGAAGATTTACATAATTCACCAAGTACATAACAAAATAAAGTAATAAAGAAGCAATCTTCAGTGAACAACAATGAATTCTATGACATTGAAGCACAAATGCACAAAATAAAAAATTCTTACGTCCAGACATTGAGGGTTTCATTATGAATGGTGAAGATGCTCAGAAAAACTTGCTTTAATGGCCATTCAGAGCGATAATGACCAAGAATGAACTCATTGTCCCTCAAAAAAGCAGGCAATGAGTGGTACTCCACCAGCTGGTACTTCACCTTCTTCCACAATCTCTTCCCCTTCCCTTCCTTCAATAAACTCTCATCCGATTCAGAACCCACCCTTGAATCCTCACAAACTTGTCGATTCTTACCCATCCTCTCTCTGTTCAGATCAAATAATCACAAAAAAACAACAACATAAATTCACATATAAACCACATCAAATTATATATAATGATACCAGAAATGGGATAAGATCGCCGGCGAAGAAGACCCAGAAGGGGATTCCTGATATGGGTGTCGTTGATTGAGAGAATATGCTTCAGGCGGAGATGATGAGAGAAGGGATTGCTATTGCAGGGAAGAAATCGAGTGAAATGACAAGAAAGTACGGGAAAATCTTAAGCAGAGAGAGGGAGAGAAGATGAATTCAGAGGAGAGATAGGCGGAGATGGCAAAGATGATTTATTTGTTTGATTGTTGTTACGAATTTGGCACGGTTACTTTGAACATATGACGTGTTTGAAAGCAACGGTGCACATTCGGCGATATTTGCTTCTACGCAATTGGATTTTTTTAGGTGCCATCAAAGATCTTATTTTATTCATATAAAAATAATCACTCACAATTTATATTTTTATATTTTTTGTGATTTTTTAAAATATTTTTATCAATTTTTTTATTTTTTAAATTGACTTAAATCTTAATATATTTCAAAAGTATAAATTTTATACAAAATTTTAAAAAAATTTATTAAATATAACAAAATATGAAAATATACTAAATTTTTGTATTTTTTTATAATTTTTATATTTGGTGAATTTTTTAAAATTTTTAAATGTATCTAAAAAATAAAATACAAATGCATACAATATTAAAAAAATCACTAAAAACAAGAATATCAATTTAAAATAATAATACATTTTTTATTAAAAAAATATGTGACTTAATATATTACATATTCAATAATAAATTATTAATAAAATATAACGGGGGTGCAAAATAAATCCAAAAGAAAATAAGGAGAAATTGTAAAGGGATGGGACAACCACAAAATAATTGTACTATAAATATAAATCTTTTTTAGTGTAACTTTGATACACAAAAAGTGTTATACCAAGACTTTGTACCATACATAGTTGCACCATCATGAATTTTTCTTTTTTTTCTTTTTTTTTTTTTTTTTTTTTTTTTGTCATTGCTCCACTAAAACCCATTAAGTGCGGGAAATTTTATTTAGGCCTTATTTGTCATAATCTAAAAAAGTCAATAAGTCACTATCTTATTTAAATTACATCATCTTATTTAAGTCACATCACCTCTCTGCGACATCATTTCAAACCTAACCCATACATAACCTATATTTCATAAAAAGCTAAAAAATACACTTATTTAGATTATCTCAAACCACCCATTACACTCAAAAAATGTTTAAGTGAGCCTAATTTTTTCAATACACTATTAAATTATTTATAATTACAATTTACTCTCAGTACATCCAATTTTTTTCTTTAGAGATACACTCAACTAAAATAAATTAAAAAATTCAAATTACTTATGAAAAATATTATTCACGTACATATATGGAATATGACTAAGAAACTCGACACCGGCGAAGGAGGGACGACAAATTTGAAGGAGAGGGTGAATTTCACGTTTGAACTTCCAAAACTTAATAAAGTGAATTTGTTCGGTTCTAAAAGTCCGAACAATTATATCAAAAAATAGGTTCAATATTCGTTTTTATGTAATTAAAAAAACACATAAATCAATAATTGTACTTTGATATTTATGTCAATACTTATCTCATCTTTGATGGATTGCTTCAAGAAACTATTTTGATTATTACTCACATTCATTATTTGATTTTGTTCAAATTTTATTCTATTTGCAAGTAACAATATAAAACATAATGATATTGATGATAATGATGAGTTTTGGTAGGATGATTTGGAGTTTTGAAGTGAGAAAAAAGAAGAAAAAAAATTGAAACTTCATAAAGAATATGAAGATATTTGAATATTTGATTATATAGAATTAATTAGGGTGTACGATAAGAAAAAATAATATTTTATTTTAAAATTTAATATATATTATTGTTATTAATAAATTCACATTAAAATATAACATGGATTAAAATTTTAAAATTTGAATTAGATAGACTCAAATAATTTTTTGATTCAGATAAAATGGTCCATGAAGCGCAAATCAATGGGCCATATGAGCCCAAATAAAATGTGTAGTGTGGGTTTTTAAGGCCCCGTTGATTTTGTCAAATACATTTTCAAATTGGTCTTACAACGAACATAATGATATTGATGATAATGATGAGTTTTGGTTGGGTGAATTGGAGTTTTGAAGTGAGAAAAAAGAAGAAAAAATAATTGAAACTTCATAAAGAATATGAAGATATTTGAATATTTGATTATATATAATTAATTAGGGTGTATGATAAGAAAAAATAATATTTTATTTTAAAATTTAATATATATTATTGTTATTAGTAAATTCACATTAAAATATAACATGGATTAAAATTTTAAAATTTGAATTAGACAGACTCAAATAATTTTTTGATTCAGATAAAATGGTCCATGAAGCGCAAATCAATGGGCCATATGAGCCCAAATAAAATGTGTAGTGTGGGTTTTTAAGGCCCCATTGATTTTGTCAAATACATTTTCAAATTGGTCTTACAACGAACAAACGGTCCAAGAGCAAGCAAATTTATTTTGTAGAACAAACAAAACAATGTGAGATAAGCTAGAACTTTCCTTTCTACACTGATGAAGCTCCCTAACCCAGAAACGCACTTTCAATACCAATAGGGTTGGTTCAATGAATAAAACTTTCAAATTCCTCAGTTAAGACTTGGATTTGAGTTTTCATAGCCTATTGTTGGGGTTAAACATATTATTTAGCGCATGGAATACTTAGAGGCTTAAGTTTCGGGCCCGACGTAGTTACGGTGAGATTCTCTGTAGATATGTTATAAATGCTAAGGAACAATACTTCTTGGTAAATATGTTGGAGTAGCCTATCTGCTTATCTATTTTTTTATGAATCAAAAAAAAAAAAAAAGAAACACACTTTTAATATATATCACCTACATTACAAGTAAATGGCAACATAGAACTGATCGCATAATTGTTGTCTTGTTTGTTTTGATAAATTTTTTTTTAATATATAGATATATATTTAGTTATAACCTTAAAACTAATTTATTAGCACTTGTAGTAATAGGGGTGGATGGTAATACGGTGTTATTAGCAAGTTTTTAATTTTTAAAATAAAAAAAAGAATTTACTATTTTAAAATGAAAGATATGTTTTGTTCAAATAAATTTATCTTATGTTGTTTACTAAAATTATTTGTGTTGAGTTATAATTTTTTGTCATATTAAACGTTAAGAAATATATAAAATATTATCTACTGATTGAAATGGAGGATAATTATAAAAGATGCACTTAGAAATAAGGGTAGTGTTATTTTAATTCAAAAATTAAACTCATTTTTCAAATTTAATATTGTTGAAATGTATTACTTAAGTTGTATTTTATTCATAGATTAGAAAGGGATTTAAAAACGGAAATAAAAAAAATGCGTGTGAAACGTAAGTTAAATATAGTTATATTTAATTCACATTTCACTTAAAATTTTTGTCTTATCTTTCAAAATTCATGAGCCAAACACAATCTTAATTAATTCCAAAAAAAAAAAACCACAACATTAGCCAACACAACTCTCTTTCTCACACAGTAAGACAGCTCTCTCTTATATTTTTTTCAAATTATCAATCAATCATTTCTTTTACACATGAAATTTTTAAAAATGTGCTTTTTATATAATTTTCATAGGAGTGGAGCAATTTTGTATAGTGATATGGCTCTCTGCCAGGAAAAGCCTTGTGATACACGAGGGACAGGATTCCATTATAGCAAATAAATTTTTTTATCATATATGTAACAATAATTTGAGAGAGTGATAGAGAATAGAGAGAGAAATACTGAATTGTTCAGTTGTTGTATATCTGTGTAATTACAAGGAGATTTACACCTCTCTTTTATAGAGAGGATATATATAAAAAATTAAATATCGTAGATACAATTTTTAATAAGATGAAAAAAAAAATTAGTGTAAAATAAAAAGAGAATGCAAGATAGAATAAGAATAAGATGTATATTTTTTATATTAGGAGTTATTTTATGGAAAATTTACTCATAAGTCCTAGTTTTTGAAACGTTGAACCATTTAGTCCTAAAAGTTTTCTTATGCTCCATTTAGTCCTATTTTTACATCAACATGATGTGAATGATGTAAATGATCTGATGTTTCATTCTATAATTTCAAAATTTATTGAAATCTGATGAACATTAGATGTTTTTCATCCTATATTTTCAAACATTATTGAAATTTGATGAACATGATGTTTGAAATCCAATGTTTGTAACATGACTCTGATGTTATTAACATTGTATCTGATGTTATTAACATTGTAATGAGACCTTTCAGTCTATAAGAAAACTTTTAGGACTAAACAGTGCATAAGTTATTAATTTGGAATTTATTGGCACATCATAAGATATATATTTTTAAAATGTCATAACAAATCATATTTTTTTACAAAAACAAGAGACCATTGCCCATAATCTTCTCCTAATTCTGTCCTAGATACACATGTTACACCGATGATTCCTCACTCGGCTGCGTTGTCCAACTTTTTTTTTGTCTTTCATTCACCAACTTCTTCTCTATTTACTTCTCTAACTGCAACGATTCGCTGCATCTTTCAGCCAAAGGTTTTTTTTATTTTTCTTTCTGTTTTGGGTGTGTATGTAGTAGACTGTACAGTCATGGCTTTGTCCAAACCAAGAACTTTGGCTGGTCTGGAAGACCATGTTGCTTCAGCTTTCTGCTGTGGTAATTTGGATAGATTGAAGTGTGGTTGGAGGGAGAGAATTGGAAGGTTTAATGGGATGATCAGAAAAGTTGATTTTCCAACAAAGCAAACAAGAAGAGGTGAGTGGAAAAGGTTCTGGTTGAGAAGGTGTTGTGGCACTAGAGGCGGTGAGAAGTTATGGAATTCATCATCATCATCGGAAGAAGAAAATGAAAGGCTTGTGAAGAGGATGAGGGAAGCTCATGTTGGAAAATTGGTTTATATATAAGCTATATTTTGGGCTAACTTTGAGTGCAAAATTGAGTGGGCCCAAACGTCTTTTGGGATGAGTCCGAAGAGGTGACGTGTTCTTTGTCACGTGGCAAGTCACACAGTGAAGACGGAACGTCAAAACCATTTATGAGTGAATGGGAAGTTGATGTCGTTTTCGGGTTTAACATTAATTTTTTAGATAAAATTCATTTGAATTTTTTTTTTCTTCAATAAAAAATTATTGTGGGAATTTAATTTAATTCTAAATTCAAGTTTTGGGTTCCTAAGTGGTTTCTTAAAATTTGTAATTGTGAGAATTTAATTTAATTCTAAATTCAAATTTTAGGTTCCTTAGAAGTTTCCTAAAGCTTGTACCTCTTTATTTATTTATTTATTTAACTATTTCAATAGT